CTGTCTTTGAAAGACTAGGCACAGAAGTGACTTGCACTGCCTACGGAGGCTCCACCCGGTGCTTCGGGAGTCCAGAGACTGCCGAAACCCGGTGTCGGTTCTTCGTTACATTTCCACTTTCCGTTGCCCGCGTTCCCTCCTGGTATTCGCGCGGAGAAATTTCACTCCTTGCCAACAAAGAAAGACAGTGCCCTCTGAAGTCCTTTGTTAGCATTAACTCGTCAGCCTCACCAGGAGCCTTTAAAAATCTGTTTCATATTTTAATTTTTTATGCAGAGTCTTGCTTTACAAAGCTAGAGTCTGCCAGATTCATTTTGAGGTAAGAACCACGTGCAGAGTCTGGGGGCCTGGAGGTAAGGAGGGGAGTGGTTAGTAGAACCCAGGTCCTGAGGGAGACAGGGATAAAATCGGTGAAGACCAAACTGTTGGAAACACTGTACACTCCAGAGATCGGTGCTGAAAAGATGGGGGTGGAAATGTGTAGCTATTGTACATGTATCTTTTCAAAACATGTTTCTGTAGCCTGTGGCAGGGTGTGGCGGGAGCTGATTAAGGCTGTCTGCTGCGCTCCTTCTAGACACCGCCTAGCTCTCCTTGTCTGTCTCCTTTGTGGGTCAACAGCAAGCACACTAGCTTTGAAGACCAGGTGTTACTGTCTTCCATTCAGGAAGGGAATGTACACTGTAAGTTAAGAAACTAACAATTGGGGCCAGCAGGCGGTGTGGTGGCTAAGGCACTGGACTCCCACATAGCTGACCATGGTTTGAGTCTGGGATCTGGCAGCTTGCTTTATCATGCGTTTTTTTTTTTTCTCTCTCTCTCTCTCTCAATCACACATGCCCTATAGCAAACTAAATAAAAGTAATAATACATAAAGTTATATAATTTTTTTTAAAAAAAGGGACAAACACTTTCTCATCAAGAAGTACTTTCTTGCTTTAGTTTCTTAACCTGATCTACCTAGAACTGTATCTAAATGATCCTGTCTTGAAATGGAAGGTGTTCAGAGCTAGATTGGTTGCCTAGGGATTTTGCCACAGAAGGTCACCGACCTAGAGACAGGTAGTTTTTTTTATTCAATCTTTACCACCTAGAAATTGCAGTGTCTTTTAATTGAGGTGACAGCTCTCAAAGTTCTCTTCTCTTTGCAAAGGTCTTTGCTAAGCAGGTAGGGCTAAGAAAGAAACCTTTTGGCCACTGTGTCATCACCCACTGTTGCCATTGTTCCATGTCTTTTCTACCTACTGTTGCCATTTTTTATGCTTAAGGAAAAAAAAACTTGTATGCTAGAAAATGCTGAAATATATTTAGGGACCATGTGTATTTGCTTATCTGCCTCAGGGTGATAAGCAACATGGTGGGGGGAGGATTAGATAGGTTGTAAAAGTGGAAAAGATTTTTTGCTGAGAGGTGCAGGGACTAAACTTGCATTTTGGGAAAACGTGTGTGCTCTTGTTGACCTCCTAACAACTGTACACGGGATAGCGTGAACTAATGTATGAAAAGTTTTGGGGGCTGTTAAGCAGTGTCTGTTGTTTACCTCACAGGTGACAGTGGTTTTGCAAGTCAGCGTATTTATGATCAGAGCAACTGAAACTGTCTAGTTCCTCCAGCATCTCTTGGCCAGTCCTAAAGGTCGCTCTTATCACCCTGTCACACAAAGAAAAGGTGAGCAAGTCTTGGATCTGGACAGGAAGAAACTTCTAAACAGGGCTATGATCAAACCAGATAATGATAAACAGAGTAGACATTTGAGTCATAAATAACCCGGGAAATGCTACTCCTATTTACATTGTAACAATGGCCGTCATTTCACACTGGTGCTAGGCCAGTCCCACAGACCCCGGGGAGCAGGTCTTCGCCTCTGCCTTGTGACACTAAACCAAGTCGCATTTTTTTTAATGCTATTAAGAAGCTGTGCCCAAGGCTTTGGCCTTGTTATCTCCCTGAACAATGTTATTTTGCTAGGCTGCAAAATAAGCAGCATGGGGTTAAATGTATTAGCTGCCTTCAAACCTAATTTATCTTCATTCTTTCCTAATTTACACTCGGGCTGAATTAATGAGAATGATTTAATTAACACGTGCGATCATGGTACCAGGGACAGGACCGCTCAGGGGATTAGACCGAACAGTGGGCTGAGCAGCTGCCATCCTGCCTCCCGTGGTCTCTAAAGCCCCACCCAAATTTCAGACAGTTCCCTGCTGGTATTCCAAAAGCATCCTTTGTTCTTTGATCCACTTCCTGAATCTGGGTGAGAAACATGGCTCAGCTTTCCTTGTTCCTGTTATGTGCCAGGCGGGCTTCAGGCTGGTGTCTGGCAGAGTTAGTGTGGCACCAAAGATCTGTAGTCCTCCTTCCACTGTGTCAAGTTCATGTTGAGTAGTAAATGCCCAGCCGGGGACAACACCCCCATCCCCAGCGGCACTTCGATTGGGGTCCTACATTAGGAAGAGACATCAGCAGAATGGCGGAGGGAGAAGCTGAGCTGTGGCCTTGCAGTCTCAGCAAGGCCTCAGTCACCCCCAGAAGGGCCTCTGGAGTTAAAATGACCCACTGAGTTGTCCCCAGTAAAGGCCAGAAGGTCAGACTTTCACAGTTCCAGAGAGGGCTGACAACTTTGTGCCTTCTGCTGCCAGCACCCTCCACAGCAGGGAGAACAGAGCCTTCATTCCCAAAGGAGGAGCCGAGGGTGCAGCACAGTGTCCACTGCAGCACTTCACCCTAGCACAGAGGGATAAGCCTAGGAAAACGGGGCCTCAGCTCCTATCAGCAATCATCTTCTTTTCAAAAGGAGGGAGCTAAAGGAAATATGGCTACATATAAAAGGGGTAAGAATAAAGAAAAAAAGCAATCAGTATAAGAAGTTATTGGTATGTTTTCTTGTTTTTGTTTGAAGACAAGGTCGTGCGATGTGATCCTCCTGCCTCC